AGCTATGGGGCAGGAAGGATATTGGACAAAATGTCTCGTTATCAAATTCCTTCAGCTGTGCTGCTGCCAGGTCTCAAGAGAGAGGGGTACTAGAGCACTTCTCTTGAGGGGTTGTAGGCAGGACCAGGTCTGGCATTATGGTCAGTCCATCTGTACCAGGGACCAGAGAAAAGGACAACACGACAGGCCGGGCAGTGCTCAGCCCAGGGTGCCACTCCCAGCCAGGATTTGCTTGGACCTCGATGGGACCAGTTGCTTTCTTGCTTGAGCTCCAAGCCTGGCTGCAAGATTTCTGCTTTTCCTTTTAGCTACAGCTGGGCCTGTCTGCTGTAACGGGACCCGAGGGATAATGGGGTGCGAGTGGCAAATGGTGCGTCCTCCAATGTGAGGAAACAGCATCAGGGCAGGGAGTGAGAGGCAACTTTGAGCATGTGGACAGTTAGAGGTGGTGCTGATCCCCAGAGGTGTCTCAGTAAGCAGGCATATAAAACACTTGGAGATCATCTAGACGTTATGCATTTCTTCTCATCTCATCTCTTCGTGGGCCCCGCTGCATTGCTGCCCACCAGCCTCCTTGCCGGTTCCTTGATGCTCTTAGCAATTTTGTGCGAGCCTCAGACTTTTGTGGATGGGAGCTACGGTCTAGGTATCAGCTGGGACCAGCAGCCAGATCTCTTGTACAGGGTCGGAGCCCACCGCTCTGCCCTGGGATTACCTGGTTTGTGCTGTCCTGGCTCTGCTTCCAGCTGGGAGTGTGGGAGGAGGGAGCGTGGATGAGGTCACACGAAGAAGCTCTCAGGTTTATATGCTTTGTACATACAGCACTGCATCTGCAGTACTTAAAGAGGGCTTAGTCCTCAACACTGCTGCTATAAACAAGCATCTGAGGACAGTGGGAAGTCTTAGCATCATCCAGAAGCTGGACACAGCTGTACAAATATTGCATTAATAAGCTGGGGCTGTCCTTAGGAGCATGCTAAGCCTCTCCAGTGAAGAGCACGTTGGCTTGGCATAGTGTCTGCGACCTGGGAAAAAGAAACCACTCATGCTTTGGAGCAGTTAAGTGACCATTCCCAGGTGATACAGGAAGGAAAGGGAGCCTCAGCAAGGTGTGTTCCTCCACAAGAGGATGCCCGAATGTCCCTGTGGTCGTGCTGAGGAATGTGTGGCACTGGCTGTAGAAGGACAGTGGCAGCAAGTCCCCTAGAAAAGAGGGAGAGCAGGAGGTGCAGCCCCTGCACTGGTGTGTAAGTGTGGCTGGAAACTTGGGGCAAGGATCTGGTGCTTCTGGGGCTTTGGGAACTTGTCCGAAATGTATGTGATTTTTCTATGTTAAAGTCTGATTGCATTGCATTTAAATGAATAGCATCATGTTTCATCTGAAGCGTTTTTCACTGCAAGTTTTCTTGAGGAATGTTAGAACTTGTTTCCATCCTCCTTATGCCCTGGCACATTGAAAGCTTTGACAAGCACGGAGCTTCCTTGCTTTTATTATCAGTTAAAAAGCTGCAGCTTTTCAGCAATAGGAATCTCCCCCTGCAGTGAGGGGACGAGCAGGAGCAGCGCGAAGATTCCAGCCTCTGGGTGCAGGGCAGCAGGCAGGGAGCAGATCCTGCAGAAAGCTGGAAGTCCCGCGGGGCTTGGGGCAGAAACCCAGTGCTTCTGCAGGCCCTTCTCATCCTGTTTGTCCTCGTGCCGTTTTCCTGCGCTTGCCCTTGTGCATCCCAGCCGGTCAGAAACCCTTCTGCACTTCCCAGGGCTGGGACTGGCAGGGAGGAAGCTCCACCTGATGCATTTCCACTGCAAGGGGAAGGTTTTCGTAACTATGTTGGAAGGAAGCATTTGTTGAGACAAGTCTCTCTAGCAGAACATCCTTGTTGAGAGCAGCGTGAGCTGCCTCCGTGCCGGGGCGGGCTTTGTGCGGCCGTGCCCATGCACAAGCAGTGTTTGTTCTCCATGTGCAGCGTTTTCCTGCGCTTAGGTGTACAGGGAGGGGTTGGCACAAGGCGAGCCCGGGAGGATACACTGAGGCTGGACATGGCTCTGATTGAAATGCTCAGTCCCAGGAGTCTCATCCTTCTCTGTTCCTCCTGTGTCAGTGCCCCCGTTCTGCTGTCCAGCTTGTGCCGGGAAAGGCCGGTGTGGAGCCAGGAACAAAGCCATCTCCTGGCATGTGCTCCAGGAACCTGTGCAGGTCTGGCCCTTGGCAGCTCTTTCCTCCTCTTCTTCACATTAACATTCCCTCTCCCTGTCCTGCTGCTCCCAAAGGAAGGAGCCTTTCCGCATTCTCAAGCACTGCTCTGCCGCCAGTAGCTCTCTTCAATTGCAGATTTCCCTCGTGGTGGCAGGCATGCCTTGTGCTTGCCTTAAGGAGACAGTCTTGTCCTCCGTTCTTTTATTCTTGGGTTTTAATATCATCTTTTCTTCTCCTCCTTGTGCAGGGACATCCTGGAAAGCGGCGGCACGGCAGTGGATGCTGCTATTGCTGCCCTGATCTGCACCTCGGCGATGAACCCGCAGAGCTCCGGCCTGGGTGGCGGTGTCGTCTTCACCATCTATAACGCGAGCACAGGTAGGGCAGCCTGGCCTCCTGTGGCACCGTCTCCTGTTAGATACCCGGAGCCAGGGACAACCAGCAGCTCTCACACCCTGTTCAGTTTTTAATAGAAAAACTGCTGGTCTGATCGAACCCATGCTCTGCCCTCAGCGAGCCCATTGCAGGAGCTATCCTGATCAGTTCTGCGGAGTGAGACTGGAGAGTGCAGTTGTTTGCAGCAAGATCACATGCAGGGAAGGAGCCTTAGCTTTAAAGTGAATGGATTTTGCCTCCCCTTCCTCCCCACAAGCAACCTTGAGTGATATCTCAGAGTCGCGTACGTGTCCCAGCGTGCGGCACAGGCTGCGCCGCTGCTGCAGGAGCTCCGTCCTGCACATCACGCTGCATCCATGTGGGAACGGCTCCAACTTCCCAAAGTGGCGGTGGGACTTCCTGTCCCCCTCGGGGATGTGTCTCCAGCACAGAGATAAACCCAGCACTTGCCAGGGCCTGCCAGGAAGCCCCTCTGTGTTTGGCTTAGCTTTAGTGTTGTTGTGTTCCTGCTTTTGCCTTTCTAATGCCCTTTTAACAGCCTTGCTTGTGATCCCCCTCACTCCTCCTCCCCCCAGAACATAGAGATCAAGATAGATAGTAAAATCAACAGTGAAAATAACAACAATGTCATGATTAAAAAAAAAAAAAAACTCCTTTCCAAGTAGACCCACAGAGACACAAGCCTGAAATTACTTGGCTCTGTATCTTATGAAATAGTTGTTTTGGCAAAGCACCTATATTTTTTTTTTCCCTTTTGGCAATGCTGTGTAACTTCCCATCCATTCCCAGACCTTCTCTTCTGATGCTGCCTAAATCAGCCGATTGTGCAGCGCAGCCCGGCACCGTGCTGGGCTCGGGGCTTGGTGCAGCTGCACCATGGGCTCCCGCTGCGTGTCCAGCTCTGTGGTCTGTGATGGAGAAAGAGAGGGCACAAGGCAGAGCAGGAGGAGAGATAAATAGGGCGGACATGAAATAAGAAGCCTTTTTTCCCCCTCAATCTTTCCTCAATCTGATATATGGGGGGTGGGGGTGGGGGGTGGGTTCAGGATTGCCATCCTACTTATAAGCATGATGGATATGGAAATATGTACGGAAAACAGTCCTCTAGAAATTCTGAGGAAGAGCATGGCATGCACACACCATCATCTCATCTAGAATGAGAGATCACATTTCAGTACACGACCCACTTGGGCTGGAATAGCCTTAAAAAAAAATATACAAATTTTGGGGATAAACTCACAGCAACAAGGCTGCCAGCTCCTGCCTTGCAGCCGGCTTCAAGACCGACCTGGCAGGAGGCCATGGCACAGCCCAACGCGGGTCATTCCTTCCCCCCTTCTCGTTCCTAGGAAGAGTGGAGGTGATCAACGCCCGCGAGACGGTGCCGCGCGTGTTCCAGCACGATCTGCTGAGGGGCTGCGCTGGTGGCTTCCCCGTTGGTAAGGACGGAGAGGGGACGCGGCCCCTCGTGCCGAGCGGGCACAGAGCTTGGGGTGGGGGCAGCGCCATGGGCAGGGGCCATCTGCTGCTCTCTGCAGCCCCTTTGCTTGCTTGGGCTCTTTCTGCAGGGATTTTCATGGAAGGAAAAAAGGGGAAAAAAAAAAAAGGAGTCAGGCCTATATAAAAAATATTTTTAGCAGTAAAACTGGCACTCTGACCAGACAGGAGGGTGGAGAGAAGAGCACAAGGAGAAACCAATGCATAAGTATTTGCTGAAGGAAAACTGCATTTCCAGAGCTCATTTCCCAGCAGTTCTTACAAAGAAAATTATAGCCAATGACTGTTCAGATTTCCTAGAAATGAAAGAAGTAAATCTGGGATGCTTGTCTGTGTCCCATGACCAGGAAAGGGCCTGGAAGAACCAGGAATTGAGTGTTATGCTCCAGCACAGCTCTCTGCCACTTTGTTACCATCTATAGAGGCTCTGATCCATTTGCTGTTGCCAGTTTGGCAGTGGCACTCCTGAATTAGCAGCACATCTTGGATCTCCTCACATTCCCTGCTGCATCCGTTCTCCTTGCCTCACACATTTTATTCTGGGGAATGTCTTAGTGCCTAAAGCAGATTTTTTTTTGTGTGTGTTCTTGAAAGAGGAGCCTGAAGAGGACCCAAGAATGAGTCTTCGGGTTGGAAGGGAATGCTGGAGATCCCTACTCCAACTCCTGCTCAAACCAGGTTGCCTCCAAAGTCAGAACAGGTTGCTCAGGGTCATGTCCTGTCACGTCTTATACTTCTGCAAAGAGAGAGCATCCAGTGCCTCACTTGGTCCCCGTTCTAGTATTTAACCACTCTTCTTATGAGTGCTTCCCCCCGCTTACATCTGCTTGGGATCGCCCTTGCTGCAACCTGTGCCGTGACGCCTTGTTCTCACCATGCACCTCAGAAGAGCCTGGCTCCACTTTTGCTAAACTCCTGCCAGATAGTTAAAGAAAGAAATAAGTAGAAAAAGCAAATACAAAATCAAGTTTGCTTGTAGCAGCCTTGGCTCTGGCTCTGTAACTGTGCACGTTCACCCGAGCCCTTTCATGGGCCAGTGGTGCTGGGTACAACACTGTCCTTCTGCCCCTCAGGGCCCCAGTGGATTGCCGTACCAGGAGAAATCCGTGGGTATGAAGAAGCCCACAAGAGACATGGCCGCTTACCATGGAAATCACTGTTTGAGCCAACCATCAAGCTACTTTCAGAGCCACTTATCATTTCCCCTGTTATGGACAAAATCATCAGTAACCCAAACTTCACCCAGCTAGGACGGAAATTCTATCTGGTAAGAGCCATGAATTAAGTTGAACGGTTGGTACTACTGTTGCCCTCAGCTCAAACCTCTCCTCTGATGCTCCCTGGAGCATGGGCTCCTTCTGCTGGGTAAATATTTGCTGTGGAGAGGGAGGAAAGGGCAGGAGAAGGGGATGTAGCAGAAATATTTTTTGAAAATCTTTCTCTGTCAGCAACTTTTTAATTTTTTTTAATGTTTAGAGTCATTTGGCTCAGCAAAGCAGTCTACTATGCACATCTGCTTAGGAATAGCAGCCAGGAGACTGGCCAAAGATGGACTGTCTCCATCTGCTGAAAGAGCTCAACAGTGTGGAAATGGTCCCCTGACAATAGCCCGCACAGCAGACGCTTGGTTTGGAGAAGTCCCACTGCCTTGAGCCACGTCCAAGCCAGAGGACCATGGGGAGGAAAACTTGTCTAGGGAACAAGCACTTCTTGCTGTGGGTAGTGACTGGAAAAGAAGAGCTTTTCTCCTTGTAGATGGAAGCGTAACACCTGCATAGCCAAATCAGCTTTGGATAGGGGAGAGAAAACGGTTGTGGAGAGAGAATAACAGTGTGCTTCAAAGTGATCCTTGTTCTTCAACAGCCCCTTGATCTGTGAAGGTCAAAGGTTTCTGAAGCACGGAGAGACCTTCAGGTGGCCGGCGCTGCAGCGGACGCTGAGAGCTGTGGCAGAAAGCGGCGCTTCGGCGTTTTATGGAGGGCTGATTGGAAAGGCCCTGGTGGAGGACTTGAGGAGGGCTGGTAGGTGACAGCTGTGTTCCACACTAGGAGACAAGCTCTTTGCTGGGACTTCTGAAGGGACTTTCATCTTCATTGCGTTTCTAGGAGGGCAAGGTGCAGGATGCACTTGGCACAGTGCAGGACGCTGGCCATAGCTAAAGAAGTCCCAAAGTATTTTGTGGGACTTTAGTTTGTGTGTATCCCACAGCACTCTCAAGAAACCTGATATATATTACGCAGGTCTTCATCTCTGTGTGAAAGTCCCTTCCCATAGCCACGGCCTTACAGCGTCTGCAGATGGGCCCAAAATCTCGAGACACCCAACATCAAAATGCATATTTATTTCAAAAAATAACCATCAAGCTAAGAAAAAGAGAGATCTATGAAAATACTGGGCTAGATATTTTCAGGTCAAATTCACTGGAGTCTTTGGACATATCTAAATTTGTTTCAGATTCAGCAAAATTTGACAGAACAGCCTTTTTCAGGCAGGAAAATAAGTTCCTTCTCAGCCAGGGCGCAGCTTTGCCTGTCCTGCATTTATTTTCCAAGGAAGGCCAACATGTGTGTGCTTTGTGCCAGCAGAGCCGAGACTCACCCATTGCAGCATTTTATGGCATGGGAAAGAGCGACCTCCCCCGGTCCTTGTAACTCAGCAAGCCAGCCCGCTGCGCTGGCGCTGGCCCCAGCCCTTGTGGCTCTGCAGCACACGGAGATTTCATGCTGGCTCGGGGTTTGGTAGGAGACAAGAATTCATGAAGACTTTTTGCTGTGCTTGGTGCAGGAGGGAATGTAAAGGATTGTAAAGGCATGTAAAGGGATGACCATTTACAAGCTCTACCAAGGTTTGATGCCAGTGCCTAATAGAGATTTATATTAATGCGCTGATCGGAGCTGCCCTCCAATTTTCTCCTGAAGGGTCCAGTATCTCCCTGGAGGACCTTAAGGAATACAAAGCAGAGGTGACCTCAGCTCTGAACATTACCCTGAACAACTTCACCACGGTGTTCGCGCCCAGGCCGCCCCTGGGAGGTGCTGTGCTCCTGTTCATCCTCAAGATACTTGAAGGTAAATTCATGGGGGAAAGGGTTTGCACAGAACATCTAGAGCATGCAGAGCAGCAGGTAGGAATGCAATGGCAGGAGAGGTCCCAGAGCAGCAGGGTGGCTACGCTTTGCAGGGTAGTGGCTCTAGAGATGACCTGGCTCACTCTTGCAGTGGGTCAATATCACCACAGCTACTGCAAAAGCCAGGAGGGAGCCTGGTTTTCCCAGGGCTTCAAAGGTCACGCTGAAAATCAGTACTTGATTGTTCCTGTTCCCACTCTCTGCTCAAGTGTTCGGGGGACCAGGTAAGAACTGAGATGGGAAAAGCAGGTTCATTTCAATGTTTTCTACAAGTCTTGAAGTAATATTGCCTTGAGTCTTTAAACCAACATATTCATCTTGCTCTCTAGCGTATAAGCTCCATGAAGAGTCATTGGCAACACCCGAGAAGAAGGTAGAAAGCTACCACCTCATTGCAGAAGCTCTGAAGTTTGGCAACATGCAAAGACCCCACATGAGCGACCCGGCCTTCTCTGACGCCCAGGTGAGTTGCGGGGCACATTGGGGCAGTGCCAGACAGCCACAGCACCCGCAGCCTCCTCTGCGCTGCCACTTGACCAAGGGGAAGCCGGGGAGTCCTCTGCTTCCATTCCTTGTTGGTGGTTTTGTTTTTATTTTTTTTGAACTATCTAGTCATTAGCTCATTTTAGCGCCTGAGTGCTAAGCCCTCCAGCAGGCTACCTACCTACTAGCCTGCCTATCACCGGCACAACGCAACAGGACCAAGGGATGCTCTGACACTCACCTTCTTTGCAGCCAGACAAGGAGAGAAAATGCTCAAACTGCTGCTAGGAGCAGCCCTGCTGAGGCTGAGTGCTGGGCAGCAGGTCCTTAAGCCTTGACACTTTGCACTGACCCTGTGCCCACCGAAAGCCCTGTCTGTGCTTTATTGATGCCAACTTGCTGTGTCCTTGTTGTCCTTGCAGGCGACCGTGGAGGCCCTGCTGTCGGACGACCTTGCTCAGGTCGTCAGAAGCCGGATCGACGGCCGCGGTGACCACCCGCCCAGCCACTACCTGCTGTCAGCGTCCACCCCTAGCCACAGATACCAGAGCAAAGGCACCACACACGTCTCTGTGCTCGCTGCAGACGGCAGCGCCGTGTCCGCCACCAGCACCATCAACTACCCGTGAGCAGCCAAGGGGCATTTTGATTGCTCAGGCCATGTATCAGGCTCACGGGGTGCAGCTGTGCACCACAAGGACAAGAAAAACCCTTGGGCTTCAGTGCTTTATACAGTGGGAATGTCTCATATCCATGAATACCAAGACAACTTGACACATCAGCCAAGGGAACATAACACTTGAGCTCCATAAACTTGTTGAGCTCTGCTGAGAGTTTCTGCAGTTTCTGTGGGCTGGGCAAATCCCCATGTCTACCAGTAAAAGGGAGCTTATATTTAGCTCCAGCACAAGAACCTCTTGGACTCTGTAGCTGGTGCAATTCCAGGCTGGGATGAGGAGGCATTAGGCAGGGGAAGCCCTGCAGGGTGTTGTGTTCTGCTAATGTCATCCACAGAGCAAAGTGCTGGTCACTGAAAGGCTACTCTTCTTTCCTCCCTGCAGGTTTGGCTCCTTTGTGTATTCTAATCAAACCGGGATCATTTTAAATAATGAACTTGCTGATTTCTGCATAGCCAACAGAAGCATTAGGCCAGGTGAGCACTCTCACCCCAAGATAAGAGCCAAGGCCAGGAGACGCAGGCAATGGGCAAGGAGTATCTGCACATGAGACTCTTACCTTTTGTAGGTCTGGGTGAGAGGGAGCTTGTTCCAAACTAAGAGAGGATTAAGCCCCTGGGCAAGTGTTTTCCTGAGTTTATGCACACATGCACTCACATAAAAGAGTACTGGTTCTTTTATGTAAAGGAAAAAGAACCGAAAAAACACTTGGTTTTGGTTTCTGACTAGAGAACTTAGACTTTTTTAAAAAAATGCTGCAGCCGATTGTGAATAGGTTGGGACGAGAGGGAGTAAGGGAAGAAACTACTTGTAAGGCAAGTGTGCCTATTTTCTAGGATCACCCATGAAAAAGTATATGGTTGTATGCACAGTCCGGGAGTGCTCTAGGTTTACACTGAGTCCTGCAACACAGCATTGCCAATACAGAGGCAAGCTGAACTAAGCCTTCCCTCATGCAAGGCCCTGTGTCCTCACACTTCTCAAACAGTAGCAGCTGCTTGATTTGCTATGGGTACAAGACTCATACATACCATACGAGAAGGGTAAAAAAGGTAAATCTGTGTATCCCTCCAGACAGCTGCATAGGAGGAATAATGTTCTCTGCCTCCTGCTACAGGGGAGAGGCCTCCCTCAGCCATGGTGCCTTCCATTCTCGTGTCCAAGACGGGAGACATGCTGGTGATCGGAGGATCCGGAGGATCCTTGATTATCAGTGCTACAGCTATGGTGAGTACCAGGGAGAGAAACCCCCGCTGAGCGAGGGGAGCACAAATCCAATAAACTCAAAGGAACCTCTTTGCTGCTGTTCTCTCTGCTGTGCTGGAGGCAACATTGAGGTTCTGCTGCCCGCTCAGCCTCTCCTCCCCTTCTTGCCTCTAGCTTTATATAGACAGGGCACAGGTATCTTCAGCGTGCCTGTAGCCCAGGTCCTTATCCACCACCTCCAGTCAGTGCAGGATTTTTTTCCTTGCAGGCTATCATAAACAAGCTGTGGCTTGGCTATGACCTGGAACATGCCATTGCAGCTCCCATCATGCATGCTGAAGGTGACAAAATCCAGTTTGAGAAAGGCTTCAGTGAGGTGAGTGGCCTCATTTTGATCTTCTCCTTTCGACAGGAAGGATTGCATCTGTAACTCACCTGAATAACGTGTTGTGCTCCTGGCAAACCTTGTTTGTGCTCGAACCTCACTCTCTCAACCTGAGCCCACACAAACGTCCTTCATTTTCACTGAGATGTGGTGCAGCCCAAGACCCTGCCCCATTCAGTCCATGTCCTCTTCTCTCCCCACTGCAGGAGGTTAGGAGCGGCCTGCTGAGAAGAGAACACAAAGAAAAGAAATTCATGTTTGCAATGAATGTTGTGCAGGGGATTTCCAAGGAAGGAAAATGCATCTCTGCTTACTCTGATATAAGGAAGCTGGGGAAATCAGCTGGATATTAGCATCAGATGCCATGACAACGCCCCTATTCTAACCAAAAACCCCAGAAGAGAACTAAATTGAGAACATGCTTTGGCTTGGGGATGCCAACATCAGCTGTTCCCATGAGGATGTCTCCTAGAGGATGGACAAAGCTGATGATTACGCCTGACTCCAGTAGACTGCGAATACCCTCAGGCAAAACAAGGATACATCAGCCAGCCTTGATTAGAGCTACATCGTCCATTATATCTTCCATAACATCTTCAATATTTGGAAAAACATATTTCTTGTGCAGATCAGCTACTCGAAATAGGAATATACACAGTGGGAAAGGAAAATCAGACCAAAACCCACTGGGAACACTGTGAAATGACCTAGCTGTATCTTCTGTTTGTGCTGGAGAGCCTTAGTTAAGAGTATAATTAGTTTCTTTAAGGGTATTGCTATGACAAGGTTGTTACTGGGACCAGCTGTGCTGAAGCTTCCTTCAACTTGACACACTGGTAACCTTGTGAGTGAGGCTCCCATGGAGCAATGTGAATTCCCAGCTCCCAGATCTCTCTCTCCATCCTGCCCTTTGCTTGCAGAAGGCCAGCAGTTTGGGAAGGCAGGTGAGGACAGCTCTGGAAGAGATGTTGTTCTTGAAAGCTTTGTGATTTTTTGTAGATTGCAAAGGACACACAATTGGATGCCTTGATTTGTTCCCACATGCTCAGTCTAGTCAGGCAACTACTACCAGGACAGTTGAGAAGAACTACAGTGCATCATTTGCAGAATATTTTTTTATTCCCTAGCACCTAACTGCCTGTTTACCAAAGCCAGTATCTAACAATCACTTAAGAGCATGAGGAGAAAATTGTAGGACTATTTAAGAACCATCACTACCAGAAGAAACTCCTGGAGGAGACACCTAAACCCATTCACCTTGATGCAGTTCCTCACTAACCTTGCCCTGCTTACAAGGACTAAGGGAATTAGATGTGTAGAAAGACATACTTAACAAATATGTAACAAGGCACTTCTCCAGGACTCAGTGGCAAGTTGCAGCAGTGCCCAACAACTCCCTTCAACCTGCCTGGCCCCTGTAAACCGCACTTCCCTGCGGGCACAGGCAGCAGTGCACGAACATTTTTGTAGGCACAGCAAAGTCAGAACAAGGCACTAGCCAACCCCTCCTCTTCCCCAAGTCTGTTGTATCTCACCTCCCATTCAGCCCTCAGTATTCCCACCTCACTGTTAGAGAAGTTCCTAGGAAAGGAACTTGGAAAGGAACTGCCTCTGTAAACACTGTGACAAGTGTCTGAACACACACTGTTAAAGCAAATCTAAGCCAGGTCTATCCACATATGCCACTGTGAACAAAGCCAGGTGGGTCGTAAGTCTGTTCATAACCATAAAACCTGTCCAATTAAGCCATCAACTTGTTGATATCTCAGCTCTCAATGTCATCTTAAAGATATTCAGAGTAAAGTTGACAAGAGCCAGATACGTGGTTTCCTTTGGAAACTGCAGACTAAGGGTGACAGTTCAGGGCACAAGCAGAGCTGTGTCTCCAAGTTGCCACATCATGCCCACGAGCACTTCCTCGTGAAGCGGGAAGCTCGCCTGCATTTACAGCCAGCTGCATGTATATCCCCACATCTTCTTCAAGTGGAGCTGAATTCCCTATTCCAGGAAAGACTTAAAGCTTCTTAAATATCTGAGCTTCTTGAAGACTTCAGAGCCACAGAAATGGCAGAACACACTGTTACAGAGCATTAGAGCCTTGATCAAATTCACATTGTTTGAATTCATATTTCCGGACTAACTAGACTAGTTGTTGCCCATAGCAAACTCTGTACTTTTAACTAGCCCAACTGTGCTTAGAGCTTATGGAAAGCAACCAAAAAGCACCTAAAAGTGGGGAGAATAGTTATTCCTTTCCTATTAGGCTTCAGGACAGCCTTCAGCTGTGTCCTGTCTCACCATGACACCAAGTAATGTTATGTACAGTCCACGTTATCTGCAGTCCAGCGCTGTACCGCGGTTATCTGCTTTGCTACTGACATTGAAACAGAGCCCACTGAGCAGCTTTAAAACCTGCTATGGGCTTTATTTGCAAAGCAGAGAGCGATGAGCTCCCACCTCCGCACCGCAGCCCTGCGCTGGCCTCCTCCGCTGCTGCCCAAACCCGCTTGGGTCGAGAGAGCCCCAGGCTGCTCCCTTTCCACTCTGTCTGCCAGCACCAGGAAACCATTATTTTTTGTACCTAATCACCTAAAGGACTTTTACAGTACCATTGTACAGAGGCCTCTCTATTTTCTGATGAAGTCTTTAAATTATATTTTTAATAAAGTGTTTTTAAACCTTTCTTGGAATTTTTCCTGTGAAGATGTTGCCTAGGCTAGCACACAAGCAGTTGTTGGAGAGGACTTGCACAGTGGTGCTTCTGCCACTGTTCATTCTGTTTATTCACTAGCCCAGGGTGCAAGCGCAAGCTTTAACTCTTTCACATTCACCTAAAATCAATTATTTGGACTAGTTAAAAAAAAAAACCCTTCTGCAGAGTGTCAAGAAACCAAATGCATTTATAGGTATCATTTTCAACAGAAAGTGGTTTTAGCAATAGCAAAAGCTGAGCTTTTCAGCGGAGAAGTTTTGTAATATAGGTTGTAGATCCTAGGGGAGTTTTCTGACTGGTTGTAAGAGATTTGGGAACACAAGTACGACTTCTGCACCACAGGCCTTTAGAAGCATCCAGCAGCTGTTACCAAACTCATTTCAGAGAGCGTGTTTGTCCAACTATCATTTCCCAGAAACTAGCTATGCTCCGGTTTCAGAGCACATGCTTTCTCTTGTACTTTAGACTATAGCGAGTGACAGGTTTGGTTAAGTTTATTCTGCTATGCTACGCGGTAGTTTTATTTGTTTATTTCCCAGACCTCATTCAGCCAAGAAGAAGTTCAGCCAACGCCAATCATTTGATGAACAGTCTAAAGTCCAAAGGGTGAGATACTAATAACAGCTGATGCAATTCATTGCATGACCTTATACGTAAGCATCATAAATTGCCTTGCAAACTGGGTTTGAACCCCAACCTGCCACTGATCAACATCTATCCTGCAATTACGAGAAGAGGAAACCACAGAGCAGATAAGAGGCTCCAGGCTTGGCACCAAATCCATCGCATTCACTCACGAAGACAGTGCTGCTACGTTCTCACAATCGCTGCCGTAGCTGCACCTAACACAGCAGTAACCGATCAGGAAAGAAAGAGCACTGAGCATTTACCAGAACACTTCTGGTGAAAGCGATTCATCTAGCAGGAGTGATTAAGCTAATATATAATCACAAAGTCAGCACCCTTTGATTAACACACAATCTCACTATCACTTTATGCCTTGAAAGCAGACTCTTCCCATTTCCAGCAAGTACTGGGAAAGAGAGGGTGCCCACAGCCTGGAATTTCAGCCTTTCACTTTCCCTTCAATGCATTCTGAATTTTCAGGACTCATAAACTGACAGGAAATTTCAGTGGGCCAAACAGATAAGATCACTTTCTAAGACCTTCATGTTTCAAGGGCTTCATAAACATATGAGCTCAACATAGAGCTCAACAACATCCCGGAACACTCTGTTTTGATCTCCGTGTCAAAAGCTGAACTTGGCTACGTTTATGCACCATAAGATGCTAGTCCGTAACAGGAGGCAAATACCAACCCCCTCAACGTGTCACTACAGGACACTTAGTTGGCCCGTATCAGATATGGATTTCTACAAGGTCACGGAGTGCCTGATTAATGGTGGCTCACCTTCAAACTGGAGAAGCTGCAGCGCAACCCTCTGTTAGAGGTTTCCTTTCCTCAGCCTCTTAGGTACTTCAGGCCTGCAATCTGGTGTGTCAAGAGGTAAACTAGAGGCAACCAGGCTTGTTCTGGATATTCAGCTATTTTATTTTTATTCACAGCTTCATGAAAGGAGTGAACAAATGAGAAAAATCTCAGGAGAGTCTTTTATACAAACTCTCATGGTCATTTTTAGAAGTGTCAACTGTGTAGGCAATAAAAATGTGTGATGACATAGGCATTTATTTTAGTTGTGCTCAGAGTTTTACAGGTAGCATTTGTCTTCCCTTTAGACCTTCTCAACAGAAATATAGATATGTTTAAAAAAAAAAAAAAAAAAGCTTGAAGCCACTTTTCAGATACACACTCATCACCAATAATCAACTTTTGAAGTAAAAAGCAAAAACATCCTTTGTTAAAAAGTGACGAGTTTGTGAAGGTTTATCCCAGTCTAGCATTGGAGTTCCTGATACAGCACAGACGTATTAGTTTGTAACTTAGAAGACCCACTCCCCAGAGCTCTCTAACTCTCATCTATTCAACTCTTCTTTAGCAACAATGAGGATATTCTTGGCAGCTGAAGCTGTGTGAGGGAAAGACTTCCTTCAAATTGGGTGAGCTGGACCTTCTTCAGAAACACTGGGTACCAAGTTTGATTACATGGGATAGATATGAGGCAGGAAACGAAGGCAGAACAGACTTTTCAAGTAGGTACTGCACATCCTTGGAGACAGGCCTGTCTTAGCACACTGCTCTGCCACAAGGCACTTCGGTAATGGCTGTTGAGAACATCAGTCTCAGCTCCAGCAATAGAATCACAGGTAAATTTGTTCTCCTTCCTGTGAGAAGTCCCTGAGTTCCAGACCTTAAGGATCTTCCCCCCAACACACGTCGGTGTCACCAGATCATGGAAGAAAGGAGCTGAACTAGGTCAGTAGCCTGCAGGGAAACCACCTTTCCGGGAATCGGAGGCTGCAGCCCATCCATCGGCTGTTCTGAGAACAGCCTGCACAACTGCACTGCTGGTTGTCCACGTGGTGTTGTGTCCCCTCTTCTTTAGTTCTTCTTCTATACCCTGCAATAAAAAGGTGCACAAATGCAACAGGACAGAGAGAAACAGTTTATGTGCAGATGGCAATCTGCAACCTGCATCCTCCTTGGCGACCCAAGCGGTTGGTGCCTGTATTAGGTAGGTCCCCTAAAGCTGTCCGTCATCTTCCTTCTGCTTTCTGGGATGTTTTGCTTTGAAGAGGTGGAGTTGACATGTGGCATTTGTGGTGTTCAGCATGGGCTACCAGTACAATTTGGGAATGCCAGAGCATTCTGCCTCATAGTCAGGTACTGACAGCCAGGACACACTGAGCCTATGTGGTGGTAGGACACAGGCCCTTTGGAGGGCTCAGTGCAGGCA